AAATGGAACACAGGAGGGTCCCCTGAAATTTGAGAAGAAACTTCTTCTCAGTGAGGGTAACAGAGCACTGGACCAGGCTGCCCAGAGAGGTTGTGGAGTCTCCTTCTCTGCAGACATTCAAAACCCGCCTGGACGCCTTCCTGTGCAACCTCATCTGGGTGTTCCTGCTCCGGCAGGGGGATTGGACTGGATGAGCTTTTGAGGTCCCTTCCAATCCCTAACGTTCTGGGATTCTGTGAATGCAGATATTCACCAAAGGAAGAAGGTTGTGCTGTCAGTCTGGTGGCATTTCAAAGGTATTGGGTATTCTGGTAAAACCTTCACTGCTGCTGAGTATGTGAAATTGTTCCTGGAACTGTTTTTTTTTGCCAAAAAATAGAGGAATTTTTTTGAGCGCGGAATCATGAAGTTGCCTAAAATATGGCAATAGGGAACAGAAAAAAAATGGACAATATAACGTTTCATTAATTTTTTTTGTTTCCCATGAAAAATTCTCCTTTTATTTACCAGAAAAAAACCCCACAATTACTTTTTGGCTAACTTGATGTTAAGGTTGGAGAAACAAATGTGGGTGCACAGCAGCAGGGGGATGGGAGCTGCCAGCCCCAAGGTGCCAAGGGTGCTCAGCAAGGGGCTATGTGGTCCTTGGTCTGTAGGGGCGTGCGTCTTGCACCAAGCTCAGTCACACCTAGGTAATAAAAATTAAAAAACAGATTAAATCTTCATTTACAGGGGGGTTGGTGAAGGCTCTTGGTGGCGAGCACAAAAGGAGTGAGCAACACCAGCAGTGAGACGGTGACGTTACCTGGAGGAACCGGGACAAGAAACACCCATGAGTGCATGGCAATGTTGGGCCCTTCAGGTACACCCCAATTTTGGCACCCAAGCAGCAGATGCAGGGTTTCTACCCCCTCTCTGACATCCATGAGCATCACCCAACCATCGACTCACACCATGAATCCCCATCGGACAAGTCGGTGACACACAAACAGCTTGGGATGGAACAGGTGGCCTCGTTGGCTTGGAGGACTGGAGCGACACCCATACGGATGTACCCAAAGCAGAAATGTTGAGAGTGGACAGAGGTTGAGCAGGAAAGTCTGGCTGTGGAAGCAGAAGAGATGGCAAAACAATTGGTGGTGATGCACCACGGTCAGAAGGTCCTCAAGATCTTGGCTACCAGCAGTTAGTTGGGACAGCAGGGTTGAGAGCCAACAGCCAGAGAGTGAATGTTTGTAACTCACGGAGAAGGGGAATAGGATGGAGAGAAGACCACCACCAGCTCCCAAGAGGGACAAAAGGACACAACTACCACCAATACATGGTCTCCAACCTAAGGAAAGCCCAGGAGATGTCATGAGGATGCAATAGCTGTCCCTTGTCCTCAGTGTCATCGCAAGGAAACCTCACCAAACCACCTGGGCACACATTGCTCAGTGCTTCTGAGTTTGGTGGGTGGGTGATGGTGCACCCACCAGAGCAAAGTCAATTTTATATAAAACCAAAATGCCTTCCCTTCCATGAAGGTCTTCCAGCGAGCTCCAACAGCATCACAACGTTCTGGGCCTTTCAAAAAGGACAGAGAATTACTTGAAAGAGTCCAGCAGAGCCACAAAGATGCTGGAGGGAGTGGAGCATCTCCTGCTGAGGAGCGGCTGAGGGAGCTGGGGCTCTTGAGCTTGGAGCAGAGGAGACTGAGGGGAGACCTCATTCATGGGGATCAATGTGGTAAGGGCGAGTGTCAGGAGGAAGGAGCCAGGCTCTGCTCTGGGATGTCCATGACAGGACAAGGGGCAATGGTCCCAAGCTGGAGCACAGGAGGTTCAAGCTGAAGATGAGGACAAACTTTGTGAGTGTGAGGGTGCAGAGCATGGCCCAGGCTGCCCAGAGAGGCTGTGGAGTCTCCTTGTGTGGAGACACCCAAAGCCCTGAGGTGTTCCTGTGTGACTGCTCTGGTGATCCTGCTCTGGCAGGGGTTGGACTGGAGGAGCTTTCAAGGTCCCTTCCAACTCCTAACATTCTGTGATTCTCTGAAGGTTATTTCCTACCTATCCAGACGTTTCTGCTTAGCCTGACTGTTATCTCAGCCATGTCCTACAAGATGACAGCGCTAGGTCCTCTCCTTTGCAGCTGCAGGATCAGGACTGGCAGTGCTGAGAGTGGACAGCACTGAAGCCGTGTGTCGGCTCCCGGGCTCGGCTCCAAGCTGCCTTCAGCAGAGACGTCCACCGGGAACGCGCCGGGTATTCGCACACACAGAGTCTGGCGCTGCCGAGCTCTTCCCAGCATTTCATAGCACGTTCCTGTGGACACAAAGGTGTCTTGGCCACCTTGCAGCGAGCAAGCAACAGCAAAAAAAAAAACCAAACAAAGAGAAAGACAGCAAAGGTTCTTCCCTGGGGAAATTTTGCAGCACAAAGCTGAATCCACGTTCCTTTTCTGCCGTCCTTTTGTACCTGATCATCTGCGACGACAACAGCCAGTTTGTCTCTGTGCATCTTTTTCTCGCCTGAGGGGCAGATTTAAGAGAAGGGTAAATAAAAGACAGCGCTGGAGCCATGCCATTACCTCTCGCTTTTGGACAGGATGACAGTGCTGGTGCTCCCCGTCCCCCGTGGATGGGCCCTCTGCTGCTGCCCAGAAGCCTTTGGAAATCATAAAGCACCTTCAAAATAATGCAAATTCCGTGTTTTCAAGGTGTTTGCCGTGGCCGGGAAAACCAGAGACAGGCATTTCAAAACATTCTCACTTGCTTTTTTCATAAAAACTTAGGCTCACAATCAATGTGAACTCGTTAGTGGGGGTACTGGGAGGAAACAGCTACTTCATGGTTTGCTAAAACGATGAAAAGTGGCAATAAAGCAGCCCCTTGCATTTACCAGGCTGCAGTATTGCTGTATGGAGGCCAGGGCTGAATTTATACAAGTATTCAGGCTCTATAGAGGAATAAAGCCACTTCCTCACCTGCCCAGGGGCTGATGTGGCTCCCACCACCCTGCACCATTAGCACTTTCCAGTATTAATTCATTTTCCACCCCCCATGGTGGAGAAGAAATTAATTCCCAGATGGAGAAACAAGACAGGGGAAGATCAGCACAAAGCAGGTCTGTGCAGGCACATCTGGAAGAGTCTTAAGATGCTACCGAGACCTCCTCCTCCCCCTCTTGCAAGCTATCAGCCGCCCCAAATTATTTTTGTGAGCGCGCTGCCTCTCCTCCTGCAACGTGCGTAAAGGATGCTTAACTCAAGAGGTGGGAATTTCTCATTCAAACAGCTCAGTGGAGTCTGAAATCCACTCAGGAGCACGTGGGTCGCACATCAAACCACGATGTGAGCACCATGGCTCAGTCAGTTGTAGGCCTGCCTGATTTTTATCATTTGCTATCACCAAAACCACAGAATCCCATTGTATTTGGTTTGTTTAGTTGGGTTTTTGGTAGCAGGTGAGGAGCTACAGGGCTGAGAAGCTTCTAGAAGCTTCCCTGGCTCCAAATCAGACCCACCTCTGACCAAGGTTGAGCCAACACTGGGAGCACTTCTGTGACAGCAGATTTAAGAGTGGAAAAATAAAACTCCTCAGCAGAGAGAAGAGTGGGATGTGAGAGGTACAGCTACACAGGCAGACACCAAGGTCAGTGAAGAAAAGGTCTGCACCAGAGCAGAGATTCCCCTGCAGCTCGTGGAGGACCCCATGCCAGAGGCTGAGGAGGTAGAGAAATCAAGAGCGAAGTTGAGCCTAAGAAGAAGGTGGGAAGGTGGTTTTAAGATGTGATTTGTAACAAACTGAATTCATTTTTTTCCCCCCAAGTCAAGTCTGTTTTGCCCATGACCATGATCAATGAGTGAACCCACCCTGTTCTTGCCTCAACCCATGAGTTTTTAGTTATATTTTCTCCTCCCCATCCCATCACGGGGAGGATCGAGTGAGGGGCCACACAGTGCTGAGTTGCCTGCTGGGCTTAAACCATGATGCCAGGTTGTTTTTTACATCTTGACATTTCCTACAGGCAGGGGCATACAATGTTCCTCTGCAAAACTCAATTTATCATTCCAGATGGAAACAAATAAACCAAACAGCTACAGTAGCTCTTACCTTTAAGTGTATCCCAGCCTGTTACAGACTTACTGGCTACATTAAATATTAAGCCATTTTCCTACACACTTCAAAGAGCAGATTCATTCTTTTTAAAGTTCATTGGTGGTGAGAAGCACCGAGCAAGGCTGCCTGGAATAACAAATACCTCTTTTTTCAGTCTCTCTCTTGAAGTTATCACAAGGTTGAGGTCTTTATATTGATTTCAGCAAGCTTTGGGATCAGGCTTAGGCCACAAAAAGGACGTAAGAGGTTGATGCAGCTTGAAGACTTCCTGCACTTGTCTCCTGCAGCTCAAATCTGATGAAGGGTCACCAAGGGCTCACTTATGCACTCAGCCTCTCTCACCGGCTACCGAAAGAAGTGGCCACTTAAGGCAACTTAAGAGATTTGGGGAGAAAAGATCCATTAAGAGCTATAAAAATCAATGATCCAGGTGTGTCTTGTCCTTCAGAATGCCCATCGTATGGAAACATCTCAGCAAGGAAGGCTCTGGGCAGTTCAAGCCATGCAAGTCTCCAGAAATTCTCTAGCAAGGGATGGGGCACCTTCCTTGGATGGTTGTACTTCAGGGAGCTGCAGCCTCAGCTGTTTGGAGAGGTAAAGTTCAGCCCTGGAATTTGGAAGTGAAAGAGGAACAGCCATAAATTTACAAGGATGGGATCAGTACAGGGTTGTGACAGCTCAGACCCACCGTGTCCATTATCTTTTTGAGATAATCCTATTTAAAATACATTTTTTCCTAAGCATATTTCCCAAGGGTCAAGCCTGGTTTCTCTGCTCAATCCTTAGGCAAAAATTCCACCATTTAAAACAGGTATTTGCCTAAATTTGAATAGTCATTAAGTGATAACTAACGTCCCACGCGGAAATGAAACAGGCTTCTCTTTTTTTTCCCCATTTTGTCTCACGTGCTGATATTAATTTCCTGGAAAACCTGGAGGACATCTGGCTTCCTTGCGAGCTGCCGTGCCAGCGTCCCCGTGCCATCCGGGGTGTCCTGCAGCCCAGCGCGGAGCAGGATCCGTGCAGCGTCCGCCTGCTGCGCAGCGCAAGCTGTGTGCAGGGCTGTGAGGGAGAAAAGATATCGAGATAAGAGTTGAGATTGCCTGGTGATTTCAACCTCAGAATCATAGAATTATAAAATATATTGGGTTGGAAGGGACCTTTACAGCTCATCCAGTCCAACCCCTGCAGTCAGCAGGGACATTGGCACCACATCAGGTTGCTCACAGCCCCATCAAGCCTGACCTTCAATATCTCCAGGGATGGGGCCTGCACCACCTCTCTGGGCAACCTGTGCCACTGATCTACCACCTCATGGGAAGAACTTTTTCCTCAGATCCAACCTAAATCTCCCCTTTCCAGTTTAAAACCATTACCCCTCATCCTATCGCTCCATGCCCCAGTGAACAGCTCTTCCCAGATTTCTTATAGGCACCTTTCAGGTCCTGGAAGGTTGCTATTAAGGTCCCCCCGGAGCCTTCTCTTCTCCAGGCTGAACAACCCCAACTCTCTCAGCTGTCTTCATAGCAGAGCTGCTCCAGGCCCTGAGCATCTTTGTGGCCTCCTCTGGCCCCGCTCCAGCACTTCAATGTCCTTTTAGTGCTGGGGACTCCAAAGCTGGACACAGCCCTGCAGGTGGGGTCTGAGCAGAGCAGAGCAGAGGGGCAGAATCCCCTCCCTGGCCCTGCTGGCCACACTTCTTGTGATGCAGCCCAGGCTGGGGTTGGTTTCTGGGCTGCAGATGCGCATTGGTGGCTTATGCCCAGCTTCTCATCCACCAGTACTCCCAGTCCTTTCCAGCACAGCATCTCCCAGCCTGTATCGGTAAAGAGGATTACCCCTACCCAAGTGCAGGACCCTGCCCTTGGCCTTGTAGAACCCCATGAGGTTCACCTGGGCCCACTTCTCCAGCTTGTCCAGGTCCAGATGCAAACACTGGATAACCAGGGGAGCAAACGGAGTCAAGAGAGGGAACGCATCGAAGGTGAACGATGACTTTTGCTGTGGCCGTGCATATCTACAGCAGCAATGGGATGACTATTAAAAGGGTCATAAAAGGGTGCCTATGGCTGGAGGGTGAGGCTGTGGGACAGTGCAAAAGGTCTCCAGGCTTCTTATTGCTCTGAGTATGGGGTGGATTTAATAGTGATGTGCAAGAGAGGGGCTTGAAACTACTCTGGATGTGACTGGGGTTGTTTAGGGGCTGGGGCTTCCTGTCAGCTCACTCCAAGGTCAGAGAGTAAATCAGGAACATTTCCATGCATCGCATGCAGCAAAGGGCATCCCACAGGAGGAGGCTGAAATACCCCACCCCAAGCCTTTGCTCATCCTGCAGACCCCTCTGACAGCCAGCACGCTGATCCAGCGTGGCTCCACCTCCAATCCTGTGGTCAGTTTTGGGGCCCTCACTCCCAGAAGGACATTGAGGGGCTGGAGCGTGGCCAGAGAAGGGCAACGGAGCTGGGGAGGGGTCTGGAGCACCTGAATAATGGGAAGCAGCTGAGGGAGCTGGGGTTGTTTAGTTTGGAGAAGAGGAGACTGAGGGGAAACGTTATCCCCTCTACAGCTCCTGAAAGGAG